TGCGGGATGATAGTGAATGCGGGCGGCCGTTGTGTCCACGAGGCAAAATGCCGGGGCAACGCCATTGCCAATAGGACGTGCCCCAAATGCTGACCCGCTCCGCCGCCGGGCATGTTTGGCCGCCGGGCATGTTTGGGAGCAAGAAGGGCTAAGGCTAAGGCCATGGCCCAGGGTTTGGCCAAAGAGTTGGGGCGTGCTGGTAGGGGTCTGGCCTGGGGCACCCTTGCGAAAGCAAAGGCCTGGGCCAAGGCAAAGCCAAAATCGAAGCGAAGGGTGAGGCCAAAGGTCGGGTGTGATTGGCTCTGTCGTGGCTGGCACGCACTGTCTCCTGCCTCGTTTCGGGCTCGCAAACTCACGTCCAGGACGGCTCTCACCATCGTTGGTCCCCCTCCTCCCTCCGCCTCTCTCTCTCTCTCTCCTACTCCGCCCGCTCCTCCCGCCCCTGTTTTGCCTCTTCTTCGCGTTTTCACCTCTTCCCCGTCCTCCCCTTCCGCCCACCCCCCCTTCCCCTCGTTTCCGCGATGGTGGTGGCTGTCTGGCTGGCTGCGCTGACCGCGACGGTGTTTCTACACCTCACACTGCCGATGGCGGGTTCCCCCGACCATCCGCGGGCGGCACTCCTGTCGGGTTCGGCCCGTCATCTCTAACTGACCACGCAGCTGGGGCTGAGCTTTGCTCGTGTTTGGGTGCCGAACGGGGTCGTGATGATTGACCTTCACTTCTCGTTCCTTACGACATCCCCCCCTCCCCTTCTCCCTTTCGCTGATCCCCATACGTTCACACTTGTGTATTGCAGCTTCTGTGTGCTTGGAATAACGTCCTCCCAAACGCAGCCACAACTGGCCCCGAACGGGCCTGATTTTTCTGTGCAACTCGGACGGGGCTGCGGTCAAGCGCAGAGGTGCTGTCGCGTGGGCCGTCCAGAGGCCCCCCCGGACCGCCCCGGGCAGACACAGGTTCCACATCAGTGTGGTGATCCCGAGATCCTCACTGGCTCACCACGCGGCGTGGTCACCACACCTCTGGTGGCACCTCAGGCGAGCCTCCCATACCATCTTGCTGGATCCCGCCCCTCAGGGCCCCGATGGAAGCGGGCGCTGAGGGGCGCGGGCCATGAGGCATGCGGGCCGCGAGGGCGACGGAGGGTTCAGTGAGGGCCTGGGGCCGCGAGGGAAGCGGGCCACGAGGGCAGCAGGGGTTCTCCCCCGAGAGACACGGGCCACGAGGGGGCGCCGTGAGGAGTAACTACACAGGTTAGCTGGCCGTGTGTGTGGGGGGGGGGGCGACATTGTGGCAAAGAGGCACCATGGTAGGGATGCATGTGTTGGGGCGCATGACCCGCGCGCTCACAGCTGCCTGCGCCCCTCCCAGCTGTTCGGCCGCGCGCCCGGGGCAGCTATGGCCAACCAGGCCGCTCGCCGTGCGGAGGTGGACGGGCGCCTGGACGGGCTCGAGCCGGAGGTCGCCCAACTTCGCGCTGGCCAATCGTCTTTGCGGTCCCGGATCGAGCGCCTGGAGCGCGGGACGCGCCTGGTGTCGATTGTTCTCACGGACGAATGCGAGGCGCTCTGGCAGAGGAGGCTCACCGACCAGGAATTCTGGGAGATGCGCGAGGAGTGGCCCGCGGCGTTGTGCCAGGGGCCTGCGCGCCACCTCGGGCTGTCGTGGCCGTTGGCGCCGGCAGCCGAGGGTGATCTTGCGAAGGCGACGCTCGTGCGGGAGGTGCGCCCGCCGACGCCCCCGCCTCGGCGGCTCCGGCCGCCATGGCGGTGGACGCATAGGCAGCCCAGGGCCCAGGGGCATGGTATGAGGTGGTATCCGCGACACTAATGGCATCGAGGGATCGTTTGACTAGATGCATGTGACTACGCTGGTGAATGGGAGATCGCAACATACGTTTATCGCGGCTGCATCGCGAGAGAGCCCTATTGGAGGGGATGCCCTGATCGTCTCGGTCTCTTTCCCCAGGGCGGGTCCCGGGTGGTGAGGCTGCTTCCCTCCTGGGACTCCTGGTGACCACCGCCTCGGGGGAAGAGACGACACACCACTGCTATTTTTGCGCCTTGGCGCGGCCCCAGAAGGGTCGGTATGCCTAAATGCACCAAGTGGCGATTGACGACACTGCTGGTGCGGCCACGCACCTGCGGCCCCATTTTCCTTTGCTCTTTCTTTGTCTGCGTTGCAGGGTGATGTGACGAGCACGATCGGGGCTCGACCCCTTTCGATCCTCTCGCGGACCCATCAGGTTGAACCCGGAGAGCTCCCTGCACCACCCGGTGGCCCGGCGGCCTCACAGGCCGACACGCTGGAACGTTGACAAGGATGGGGATTTGAATGGGATGGAAAGGGGAAGGAGAGGAAGTATGAGGACAGGCAGGATGGAGAGGGTGGGCGGAAAGGGGAGTTGTGAGCACCTATGCACCATCACCATGCCTGGTCAATGCCACATTGGTCATGGCATGGTGCACACGCCCTCCTGGCTGAGGACAGGAGTCTGTACAGTAGACATATACGGATCTAACTCTTGCTGTTAGAACAGATGGTGACACATCCCTGTTTGAATCTGGATCTTTTGAAGGTGCCCAGGGGTCTGCGAAACTGTCGGGGAATAACAAATTCTCGAGCACCCGCTCGCAGCCCAACTTCTGATGCCGCGCGCATACTGCAACCCCTCCTTTCGGGTCGGACGCAAGGGAGAATTGAGCGAATCAACTCACGTAGATGATTTTAAGGAGGCAAGGGTCGCGGCGTCGGTATATAATCATATATGTATACACATATTCACATAGTTGTGAAATATCTGAATCTATGTACATATGCAGATCAACATATACAAACTGCATATCAATATATGTCCTAGAACCATCGCGAGCGTTGTTTGCGAGCTCACGTTCTAGCTAGGTTTCAAAAGCTATCGCAGAGGATCTCAATTCTTGAAGTGCCTAGTGCATCTAACGATCATCTCGGAGTACCTGCGCAAGCCTCAGAAGCGTATAGAAAACGAAATGCGGAAACCACAAAATCACACATTTCCGTGAGGTGTTCGATGCTGTGAGGCCCTCCAAGGCTTCTCGGGAACTTTCTTTGGTGGTGAGAAGGGCCTGAATTGTGGTCTGTTGTGCAAGAATAACAGGGAGTCAGTTGGAAAAAGGGGAATTCCAACCATTCTCTCTTTCCAAACGTACCCCCTGGGCGACATTGCCCCTTTTCGACCGCCATACACATTGGATCATCATTCCTAAGTTGTCGGTTGCCATTGCATCTGCACGCCTGCGCCTTGGTAAAACAATGCCTGAACCATCGCATCGGAGGGGTGCTGAGTCTCGGTTCTGCCTCCGCCCCCGCCCAGGGCAAAGCGCTCGTAAGGCGTTGGGGCCCCCCCTAGCTTGGCTGGACAGGTGAACTCATGAGTGCTCGATTGTTACTGTGGTTTCAGGGGCAGCCATGCACGAAGACGACCCAAGGGAGTGCCAAGACAGCGAAAAATATTTGAAATGTGACCCCGAAATCTTGATGGGGCTCGGGACTTCGTGGGCCCCGGAAACAGCGAGGCCGTTTTTTTACCGTTGCAAAAAAACGTCTCTTGAAAATGGAAACGGCAAAAAAAGGCGACCGGAAACTGCAAAAAAACAGCTCCAGGACTGGAATCGGAGCCGGAACCGGTCAAAAAACGGCGACGGAACCGGTACAAAAACGGCGTCGGAACCGGTAACAACACGGCCCTGTCGTTTCCAGGGCCCACTAAGGCTAGGGATGAACTTGAACAAATCAATAATCACTGGATTTCCTTAGTTTGTCAAGTGGGGCCTCCTAACATGTAGTGCGCAGGAACAGGGGGGGGCCTAAGAGGCGTGCAGGGAACTCCTGGGTGGCAGTTGGAAGCCGCTGGGGGGTTGTTTTGGGGCCTCGTGGGGCTACTTTTGGGCCTCTTCGGGGCTCTTGGGGGCCTCTTCAAGCTCTTTGGGGGACTCTTGGCCTCTTTGAGTGGAAAACCGGGATTGTCGAGTTGCGTTCTCCCTATTGGGTGTTTTTTCGGGCCATCTTGGGTTGCTTTTGGGATGCTTCGGGGCGCTCTTTGGCCGTCTTGGGGCCTGCTTGGCCCGTCTTGGAGCCGTCTCAGGGGCTCTTGGGCGGTTTGGGGGCAATCTTAGGGGCCTTTTTTCGGCCGTCTTGGAGCGTGTTGGAATCTCGAAAACGCGAGAAGGCTAACAACCGAAAACAAAGCAATGAAAATCAACGATGTTGGCCTCTTCGGGCACTCCCGGGACGCCTCTCGATGGAGGCCTCCTGGGAGCCTGGAGAGCCGTCGGAGGTCTGTCTTGGGGTGCTTGGGAGCGTCTTGGGGCTTCCTTTTGCGTTCTGGGGGCTCCTTGGGGGCGTCTTGGGCCGTCCTGGGGCGTTCTGGGGCCTCCCTGGGAGGCCCGGGGGCGCAGTACCGGGAGTTGCCCCGAGATATCACGGAGGTGGAGGACGCTCCTGGGGGGGAGGCAATTTGTTTACATTACATATGTGTATATATATATATATAAAGAGAGAGAGAGAGAGAGAGAGAGAGAGAGAGAGAGAGAGAGCGAGAGAGAGAGAGAGGCATACATGTTATTCCTCTGGCTCCCTATACTCCCCTCTCGTCCGACCCAAGCCCCCTGCTCAGGATGGCCCCCTGCCCGGGTCTGGTGGCGTCCAAGTGTCCTTTGCGGAGAGTCTAGAAGAACAAACAACGCTGTAACTAAATGTAATCATTCGGAGTTCCGTGCGGATTTCTTGGATCGGCGCCGACCCCCCCTCCCTGGCGCGCGGAGCGCGCCATGTGGCGCCAGGTGGGTCGCTGGAGGCGCCTCCAAAGGTGTCCAGCGCAGATCCGCGAAATCCGCGCAGAGCTACGAAAAAACGAGGACGCAAACTTTCATCTGCGTGGCGTCCAGGTGCTCGGCGCCCTCTGCGGAGCGAAGGCCGGGTCAAAAGGCACAGCAGAGGCCCACACAGCGGCGGGGCGAGGGAGCCTCCACTGGCAGCGCCGAGGCGCCGAGCAGCGCCTCCAACAGCTCCGCGGACCCCCCCGCCGCGGCGCGCGTGAGCGGCGTCTCGCCGCCGCCGCCGCTGGCGTCGATGCTGGCGCCGTG